TGGACACTCCTGAGGGACCCTCTTGTCAACTGGACACTCCTGAGGGAACTTCTTGTCAACCGGACACCCCTGAGGGACCCTCTTGTCAACTGGACACCCTTGAGGGACCCTCTTGTCATCCGGACACTCCTGAAGGACCCTCTTGTCAACTGAACACCCCTGAGGGATCCTCTTGTCAACTGGACACCCCTGAGGGACCCTTTGTCAACTGGACACTCTTGAGGGGCCCTCTTGTCAACCGAACACTCCTGAGGGACCTTCTTGTCAACCAGACACTCCTGAAGTACTCTCAATTGAGGAATTGAGAGTCAGTAGAGTGGCCTGTGGGTTAAGTCTGAGAGCACATTCTCTCGATGGATGACTGATATGGGAGGCTGGGCAGCCCATGGTGGGCTGTGCCATCCCTAGGCAAGTGTCCTGGTACTCTAAGAAAGCAGGCTGATCAAGCCAGTAAGCAGCACTCCTCCATGGCCTGTACTTCAGTTCTTGATCCAATTCCCCTCTGTGAAGGAGCAGGACCTGAAAGTCATAAGATGAAATAAACCCTTTTCTTCCCGACTTGCTTTTTGTTTACCACAGTAGCAGAAAGCAAAGCAGGACAGGACTCTTTTCCGGAAGCCATCTATGAAACGGACCGTTATCAAGGCACCGCTCCAGTCTATCCCCTTCAGGTCTTGGTAAAATGGCAATAATTTGAACTCAAGTAGTACACCATAGAATCACTGAGAATGTTAAAAAAAAGCACACCAGCCCGGCCCTGTGGCTGGGTTCTCCTTCAGGGAGGAGCTGTGGAAACTGGAGCCTGGGTTATGAGCATTCCTTTCTCCTCCGAAGGTAAAGGTTTCAGATACAGTTTCTCACTCATTGTCCATTCTCCATCATGTACCCTTTGCAATCCAGGCAGCTTCTGGTCCCAGCCAGAGACATCCCCTGCTTGCCACAGGCTCTCCGTGCTGGATGATACCGCCACTAACCTTACCACCTCTTCCTTCCCTTTTCTCATTACTTCCTGATTGCCCCTTTGTCATCTTAATCTGCTGAAGTTGCTAAATCCAGAGCCTCCTGGAGTCCTTCGGTGTCTCTGCCCGCCTGGTGCACAACTGAACACTTGATAGCCAAGAGGTCAAAGTGCACCCAGCAGCTCTAGGTGATTTCAGTGCCTTAAAAATCTACTGGGACTTCATTTTAAATGTCTGAAAGTAGGGGTAGGTCATTCGCTCTTCCATCTGTTCATGCGTGGAGCAGGAAACTGCAGAACTAAGGGGCTTACACAGTTGTACCCAGTTTACATTGTTAAATTTTGCTTTTTTAGAGGCAAAGGTCATGTTGCCCATCCTCCTCAAACTTATGTTGCTAAAGATGACCTTGAACTTCTGACCTTCCTATATCCACTTCCAAAGTGCTGGGGTTTCAGGCATGTGCAACCACACCCAGTTTATGCAGTGTTAGACATTAAACCGAGAGGGTTTTTGTTTTTTTTGCTTGTTTGGCAAGGATCCCACCAACTGAGCCACATCCCCACCTTCCAGAAGAAACGGATTTTTCTCTGAAGCTTTGAAGTTGCTACTTAGTAGCACCAGGCTATTTCTCCCATGAGAGTTGCTACATCTACCCATGTAGACACAGCTACTGTCTAAACAAAGCTAGTTCATGGAAATTCAAGAATCCAGAGCCTAGTAGTTAATGTTCGAGCATAAAGTGGTTCTCTCCTTAGTGCCCAGTCACTATAAACCAGAATTGTAACATTCAAGCATGAGCAACGGATGTTAATTTCCCTATGAAATCGACCAGCAGCGACTATTTTAATAGGACTTCATAGCTAATCTGACAGACTCCGTCTCTTATTCCACCTAAGCAGCCTGTTTTGTGCGACACCTGAACTCTATTTTTTTTTGTAACCACGGGCAAACACGCGGTGAACCCTGCTTCCTTTAAAGCTTTCAGCACTGTGGCATTGATCACACTAACGAGCTGTGCACACATGCAACAAGAACAATGCCTGCTGCATTGCTGTCCTTCCTGAGAATGGGACACTGACCTCTTGCCTCCCGTTGCTGGTACTCCTTGCTTCTGAGCACAGGGTGTGAAATCCACATCCAGGGGTGGTGCTTCCGGAGCTGAGGGAGCAGGTGGTGGGTAATGAGACCCACAGTGCCCGCCAGGGCAAAGAGAACGATGCTGAGAAAGGGCTGCAGAGGAGGACGAGGTCAAAGGTCAACAGAGACACACTTGTGAGTGAGTGATGCAGGCATCTGACATCACGTCCTCCCTCCCATATTTTTTTTTGCATGTGCACGTTATGTACGGGCAGGTGTACATACACATGTATGCATGAGAAGGTCAGGGGATAATTTTGGATGTCATTCCTCAGGTGCCATTCGTTGTCTTGGTTTTCTGAGACAGTTTCTCACTGGTCTGGAATTCACTAAGTAGTCTAGGCTGGCTGGAAGGCTTATAAGGTAAACAGGGTACTGACTGAGCCTGTCCCCACCCTCTTCCCACTCACAGGAAGACCTATGCACTGAGAGCTGCCAGGAACAAGGTGGGAAAGTGACCCCTGGAAGAGACTGGGAGAATTCTGCCCCTGCATCACACCCTAAGTCTTCTTTTTCAGAACTAGAGAATAGCACACTCAGCTGATAGAGCAGTCCAGGGAAGATGTGGCTGTGGACTTTTCATGTTTGTGATGAGGCAGCAATATTCTGTAAGAATTGTAAGGCAAGGTCCTGTGTTGTCTTTGCTTAGCTTGTTCTCAGTTAAAAAAAAAAATCCAAGTGGTCTCTGTGTCACTATGACTGCTGTCTTAGCCCAGATACAGTGACTTCTCTCTCTACTGATAGAAGGCTGATGTCTGTTCCCAGCCTGTCACAATGACAACTGTCTGTGATTACAAATTGTTTTTATCACTCTTAGAGACAAAACGACTCCCCCAGGGAGAGGAGATGACACACAGGGAGGTGGCTCAAGTGTGTCATGGACATTGCTCTCAGTGTGTGTGTGTGTTCCTTGACCCCCTCCCCTGGCTCCTCTACCCTTCTGTGCTCTCATTCCATGCCTAGGCCCCATCAAGAGAACAGTAAGGGAGAACAGAGCCTTGGGGCCACCTACCCGTAAGGACAGGAAGACAGTGCTGGCACTGACTGCAAAGGAGAGCACGGCAGCTGCTGAGCAGATGAGGAGGTCTGATCTCAGGACATCCTTCTAGAAAGAGAAGATTGACTGTGAGGTCAGCTCCGTGTGGCTTCCTCAGAAGCGCTTGCCAGGTGAGTCAGCGGCAGGACGCTAATGTTCCACACTGCTCTTCCGTATGTCAGACCCAAACGCACTGAAACACTGCAGAGGCATCATCCGCTAGCTTAGTCAGTGGCTCTCACTGGGGATGTCTCAGGGAGAGGGAAGCAGATATGGTGCTAGTAGATTAACATACATGCACTACCATGGAGAACACATGTGTCTACACATAAATTGTGTAAGGTTCCTTACACAAACTCAGATGGGATACAGAGTCCCCACAGACCTCCCATAGATTCTCCAACTCAGAATCTCACAAAGCAGGGCTGATGCTAACAGTCTCTACGAGGTCATGGGTGGCCTCGCGTGTCAACATACAACTTGGAGACACCAGACAAAAGCCTCCCACACATTTATACTTTGGACCACACTACATTTCCATCCAACCATCAGATCCATAAACAAACATACAACAAAAACAAAGAAACAACTATAGCTTTCCGCTTTCCAGCTACTGCAGAACACACAGTATGGGACTGTAGGTGAGTGTCACCCCACCTGGTTCTCTTTCATTGATTTTAAAATGGAAACAATGTGATGTTTCTTCCCTGTCTTGCCGATAGCTTGATGCCTGTGTTAACATGTAAAACTGGACAGACAGTGGAAACAATAAAGATAACACAGACACCGACCATGTGTGGTGGGTGGAACCATGGGTGTGGAGTGATCACATTAAACCTGTGTGGAGTGGGTGGTTCAGGAAAACCACAATCCCCACACTGTCTCCTGTTATACACCCGATATACCTGTTCTGAACTTTCTCTTGTAAATTGATGAGTACTGTGAGCATGGGAGGAATTAAAGGGATAATGTACTACCCAATTCTTTTGCTGTGACCAAAAGCAAAGGTAGCCTGGGCTAGGGCGGTTTGCCCTCACACCATTGAGGGAAGTTAAGAAGAAACTGAAGCAATGTTAAGCAGAAACTGCGGAGAAACATTGTTGCTAGCTCACCTACAAGCTTATGCTTAGCTAGCTTTCTTGTACAGCCCCAGCCCACCTGCCTAGGGAATATTCTGCCCACAGTGGGCTAATCCATCCTATGCTGATTAATGAGACAATCCTTAAAGACAGACTCATAGGCCAATCTGATCTAGGCAAGTCCTCAATCTACACTCCCTTCTCAGGCTACTCTGGGCCGTGTCAGGTTGATGATTAAAGATAGCTAGGACAAACAAAGATTTGAGACTTGACTTATCTTAGTGTTATCTCTAGCAAGGGAAATCTGTTTAGGCTCTGTTGTCATTCCTCACACTTGCAAAGCACCAGTCCCTCCCCCTCCCTCAGAGGGCAAATCTGCCATTGACAGCAGTTTCTGGCTGTAAAGATGGTTAACTTTTTCCTGTTTTTCTCTGGCATGAGTTTATGTCATTCAAGATCACTAAATAGTTGTCTACAGGGAAGACTAATGGTTTACCAAGTAATATGATTTAAAACTGTGTCATATTTAATTGACCAATTTTCCTGTTTGGAGGGTAGATGGGGCATCAGTTGGAGTGTGGGGCAGGTAAGTCTGGAGGACTGTCATTCTTCTACTCAAACGTGAGCGAAAATTACTTCAATTCTGATAACAAGCATGTTAGAACAATACTTTAACTAACCGATTACTTAATTAGAGGCGGGCTCTCATAGTCCAGGCTGGATTTGAACTTGCTCTATAGCTGAGGATGATCTTGAACCCCTCTCTGCCTTACACATTCTGGGATTACAAACATATAAAGCACCATACCTGGTTTACACAGCATCAGGGATGGACTCAGGGCTTTGTGTGTGTGCTAGGCAAGTACTCTACCCAGTGAGCCTCAGCCCTGCCTGGCACTGTGTGGTTCTTCAGATGTGAGTGTGCCTTCTATGAAACACAAATCAGTACACAGACTTCCTCTGCTTACAAACTACTCTCTCCACCCATTTCCTTTCCATATTCTAAGTTTTACACAGCACTGCTGAGGTATAGTTGATGTATTTAAAATGTAAAACCTGATGGGGTTTTAAGATTATTTATTTTTATACCTGGTGCCTTTGTAGACCAGATGACAACCTGGGTCCTCTGGAACTGGAGTTATAGAGCATCCATGTGGGAGGTGGAACTTGAACCTAGGTCCTCTGCTAGAGCAGCCAGTACTCTTAACCATTAAGCTATCTCTCCAGTCGCAGCATGATGAGTTTTGACACACACCTACCTCCAGAAGACCATCACCACTGATTGTTAATTTAACGATTAAAATGTGTATTAGCATAGTTATTGGTTCTAGAGTTTCCTTCTGGTGTTTGTTTAATCTATCCCTCTCTTCACACTGATCTAACCTCATTTTCATAATGCTATATACTAAAATCACACAGTAGGTGCTCTTACTTTTTCTGTCTGGCTTCTTTTGGTTCAGTCTCAGTCACTGTTCTATTGCTGTGAAGAGACACCATGACCCAGGCAACTCTTATAAAGAGGGTGCTGGCTTATAGTTTTAAAGAGCTAGTCCATGATCTTGTGTCAGGAAGCAGACAGGCATGGCGCTGGAGCAGTAGCCAAGGGATTTGTGCCCTTACGCACAGGCAGCAGGCAGAGAGAAGCACGGCACTTTGAAACCTCAGTGCCTACCTCAAGTGACACACATCCTCCAGCAATGCCGTATCTCCTAATCCTGTCCAAACAGCTCATCAACTTGGGACCAAGCCTTCAACTATATAAGGCTCTGGGGCCATTTTTATGAAACCACCACATACAATACAGTTCTTCTGGTATTTGTTTCAGGTTATTGTCTACCAGACTTATCCCTCTTTGTTGTCAAATAGGATTCTTTTGCATGGTATACTACAGTGTGTTTATTCACATGTGAATAAGCATTTGAATATGCTCCCAGTTTTGACTGTTCTATATAAAACTGCTGTGAATATTCATGATGTATCTCTCCAGACACGTGTATTCTCTCTTTTCTTGTGTAAATATCTGGGTTATAAGGAACACTGGGGTTTAGCTTTATAAAGAAAATTCTAAACTGTTTTCTAAAATTATGATAACCCTGCTGCATTCTGGGTGTGTGTCCTGGACATTCCACAGTCTCTGAAGGACGGTTTAGTTTTAACTGTAGGGATTGGCTGTGCAGTCAAGGGTTCTTCTCTGCAAATAATTACCCCCCATATTCTATGTCTTGTATTCGTTATACCCCTCCTTTATAATTTAAAACAGTAAGTCAAAAACCGCAATTTGCTAATTTATGAAACAGTGATGAACTCTAGTGTATGTGTGTGTGTGGTTTCAAAGTCTCCCTTCCTAAGCAGCTGACATCATAAAGGCTGATAGGAAAGAAGCTCAGAGCCAGTGGTCTACAGTCCTTCAGGTTTCTTTCTCTTATCTCTGGGTTTACAATTCACTGGGGTTGACTTTTAAGGATGGTGGGACACAGTGGTCCAATTTTACCTTGTTATTGTAAAAGTTTTAAGATTTACTTTTAAATTTTTATTTAGGTGCATCTCCGTGAATGTGCCCCTTATGTGCAGGTTTATACAGAGGCCAGAAGGGGGTGCTGGGTCCTCTGGAGCTGAAGTTGTAAGCAGGCCTGAGCCACCAGATGTGACACAGGAAACCAGACTTAGGTTCCTCTGAAAGAATAGCGACTGCTCTTTAAGCTGAAGCACCGCTCCTCTGCCAAGGTCACAGCTCCTCTGCCAAGGTCACAGCTCCTCTACCAAGGTCACAGCTCCTCTGCCAAAGTCGCCCTCAAACTAAGCTCATATGGCTTTTACAAGGTTCGCTTCTTCACAAATGTTTTGCAGATCCATGCAAATCAGGATTTCTACTGCAGCTAAAATCAACAGGGTGAGTGTTCCTGTCATTTGGGGCAGCCAAGACAACTACGCTGACCTCTTCACCTTCATTCTTATCCTGACAGTGTCCTGTCTCATGGTGGGTGGCCTTTCACTGAGAGATGAAAGACCAAGGCTAAATTCCCCCAGATGCCCTTGAACAAAGATCTGCCTACTCTGTTTACTCCAGCCCCTTAGTGGTCCAAATTCATCCTTAGTGTTCTATTGTTTATAAGAGTGGAGGCACATTTGATTCAGATTGTTTTGCTTTTAATCCGAAAGTCTGTTTGGATAGTTTATCTGCCCCAGTGCAGGGTAGACTTCCTCCTCTCTGTTCACCCACTCTCCTGTCTTCCCGAAACTCTCTAATCCCTTTGTGACGCAGCCTGGTGTCTAGTGAAAGATTAGCATATAAAACTCTTTCCCTTTCCCACTGCTGGATGCCACACACTGGATAATCAACTCTTGATTGTGACACTCAGTTTTCACAGTGTATTCTCATGACTGATGAGTCCTTCCTGCCTTCCTCAGATCTGATAATCT